TGGAAGTCTCCTACAAACCAAAATTACAAAGAAGCATTAATACCTATTCCACGCAAATTTCCAGCAATATATACACTCTTTAAATCACTCATAAACCCTATAAAACAAGCTGAAATTTAATTTAAAACCCTTTCTTTAATTTTATTCCCAATTAATGGGTAATTAAAAATCCTTTCAAGAAATATAATTATAGCTTATATATAAAAATTCTAGCTTTATTAAATCATCTAAAATTGCTGTAATTGTGTTTTAAAACACTTATTTCAATAATTTAAATCACCCATAAACAATTTCCATTAATATACATAAACTTAGAAACCTAGGGTTTATAATTTGGGGCTTTTTAAATCAAAACCAAATCTGAAAATTTATATACAAAATACTTATTATTAAACATTATAAAAATCATTACAAAACTCAAAATCAATAATTAGATTAAGGGTAGATTTAATTAAAAATCATAAAGAATATTTTTTTTTGTTGTTCGAACACCAACAGCCCGACACCACAGCAGGGCTGCTGCCGCGTGCCTGCTGGTGGTGCCGCTGCTGTCGTCGGCGCCAACTGGTGGCTGCGACGGTGGCCAGCAGCGTGTAGTGGTGGCCGGTGTGTGGTGGTGTGTGTGGACGGTGATTGAAACAAAAATAAAAATAAAGGGGAAGGGGAAAAATTAAGGGGAAGGAAAATAAGAGGAGAGAGAAAGAGAGTTACCTTGGAGGTATTCTCCACCTTGGGCAAAGTTTAATTTGTCCATGTGATGGGTATTTATACTCCATTTTCTAAAACCCTCCTAGACTTAAATTCCCTTTTTACCTTTAATGATTCCTTTCCTAGTCAAACTAGTATTTTGACTTTCCTAAAATACCATTGACTTTAAAAATTACCTTTTATAAAATAATATGCCCCAAAGTTTCCAAATCATGAAATAAAATATTTCAAGATTGTTAAATAATAATATATAACTCTATTCTATACCAGGCCACTTTGATTCTCATGGAAAGTTATACAGTAACCATTAGTTATTAACTAGATTAGTGCCAGTGTGATGCACGGTAGTAATAATTTTTTTTCCCATAATTAATTTGTGATATACTATAATATGAGGCAACTCAGTGGAATAAACAAATGCAATGCATATAATAAAAAAGATGAAATACTACGTAATAAGGCAAAAATTATTAAAACTGCAATTGAAAAAAATATATTATTTTTTATTAGTTGTGTTGAAAATGTTTAAATATAGTATGCATTATAATACAGTAATGATGCATGTTATTTTCAATAAAACTATACAATGTAGATGTCGTATGACTTTTAATTAATAAATTAATTTAGTTTTTAAAAAAAAAAACCTATACGATGCACTTCAATTCCAAAATATAAGCTAAGTAAAATAATAATAATAATAAATAAATAAATAAAAATAAAAAATAAAAAAAACTTAAAGCTGACATCAAATATTGTATTGGCGGCAAATTTTTTAATGATAGCAACATATGTCCAAAATGATCGATTTAAGCATGACCTATTTTAGTAATAGTCAATAGATTTTTTGAAGGAAAAAAAAAGTTATAAGGTGGTAAAATTATTACAAAAATATTTAACAAAAACTAACTCAATTTATTATTATTATTTCATAAGATTTCAAATCAACACCAGAAATGCTTTTTTTTTTTTTTTTTTTTCATTGAACCCCACTAGTGTACAACTATATAATGGTAATTTAAATGTTAATATTGTATTTTTGGCTCCGTTATTTTATACTCTCCTCCATATATCAACCTTCTAAATTATAGTCTATTCTCCCTTAATTAAAAGGTCTCAAAATCTTATGTAACTTTTTTAAGTAAATAAAACACTCAATAAAAAGAAATACAATTATTATAGGAAAAATTCATGGGAATAATCCCACCTTTGGGCCATTCGTTTTTAATAATCCCACCTTTGAGATATTTTTTAATAATCCGACCTTTACCCCCCATTCTTTTTTAATGGTCCCATTTTACCAGAAATTGGTTGAGTAGGTAATTTTTTTTAAAAAAAGATTAATTTACACGTGTCATTACATAATTGGTCAAATTCCAAAAAAAAAAAAATAAATAAAAAAACCCAAACCCAATTCAGCCACCACCACCCCTACCACCACCCAAACCCAAACCCTAGAACCACCATCCCCACTAGACCCGAACCCCAAAACCACCCCACCAGCCAACGCCGGCGCCGCTCAACCCCCTTCACCGCACCCTTTCCTCATTTCGACCACCCTTCCCCGCACTCCGTTCCCTTACTCCTCCCTTTTCCGAACACCCAATCCCCTGCTGCAATTTGGCTGCCCTACCCACGAACTAGCCCTAACCACCTAACCCACCACTGCACCGGAATGGCCTGAAAACCGCCCCTCTCATCTTCCCAAGCACCGAAACCCTACCCCCTCCATTTCCCAAGCCTCGAAAACCCCAAAAGAGGTGGTGTTGGTGAAGGGGGTTGATTTCGAGGTGGTTGGGGATGGTGGTTACGGAGGACAAGGAGGGGCGACGGTAGGGTTAGGGGAGGGGCGGTGGGGCCGGGATGGACGCCGGTGGAGGTTGGGGTTGAGGAGGCTGCCTGAGTGAGGGTGGAGGGGGTTGGGTGGAGATGGAGGTATTTTGTTTTTTTTTTTTTTTGTTTCTTAATTTTTTTTTTAACTTTTTTTTTACCAATGACAAGCCGCCACGTGTCATGTAACCACATGACCGGTGGGACCATTAAAAAGAATGGGGGGTAAAGGTCGGATTATTAAAAAATATCTCAAAGGTGGGATTATTAAAAATGGCCCAAAGGTGGGATTATTCCCATGAATTTTTCTATTATTATAAAGATAATATATAAAATTACCAATAATATATTATTATAGTTGTATTATACAAATATTCCAAATATAAAAGATTTTTGCTAAAAAGGGAGGGGGAGTTTTGGAGGGAAAAAACAACACCAGAAAGTGACACGTGTCATTCTCGGTGTCTGTTTTAGGATTATATTATTGATTCATATATGAGTATAAAGGACCCTTGTGACAGAAAACAAGTACTATACATAATCAGATTATATTTGCTCCAATAATTTGCACGTTTCTAATTAAGAATAAAAAACTCATGATAGTGGAACAAGAATAACATAATGATCATTTCATAGGATGATTAAAATTTTCATGTTATACTTAAATCACCAATAATCTTGAACTACCTGTAATTCAATGGAAAGTACCACTCGGCTTACTTTACTGATCGAACAGTATCAGTTACCATTAATTAAGGAGGTAAACTTACTAATCAAATTTCTCCCTTACAAAAATGGATAGAAGTTGAAAAAAGTGGAGTTTAATTATAAAGTAAGAAGGAAAAAAAAAAAAAAAAAAAAAAAAAAAAAAAAAAACTCGAATCAAATTGCACAATCAAAGAAAATACATGTACCGTGTGAAATAATAAGAGATTAAAAATTTTAATATCCTGTAATATTTGATGTTTTAAAGTGTTAAAGGAGCATTTCAACCAAAAACTTAAGTTGATGATGGAAGACTAGGACCAATTTATATACTCTATCATAGAGTATTGTATAACGACAAATCTAGGATGATATCTAAATGAGATAGTCTGTGCTTGAGATTATACTGTATGTTTTTCATACGCGGAGCAAGCATAAAAAAGAAAGTGAGGTAGTTAAAGAGAAATTAGCATCAATGCCCCAACCAACGTTTACGACCTGTAAATTCCTACCTTTGCGTCAAAAGAACAGTATCATATAGTATATGTGGGTTTCGTTACTTTGGTTTTTCTCCAAGACAAAGTTGTATGAGAATATAAGTTCAAAGGCGGATTTATAATTGATACCATATATTCTCTCCTAAGGCATTGTTTTAGTCATAAATGTTGCTCATATAAATATTTTATGTCGATTCAAATTAAACCTAGAAAATATCTAGTGCAAGTATTGTATGAGCAAGGTATTATGACCAATTCAATTTATAATTAAATTTTTTTTATGAAATACATCTTTTAATTCGTTCCTTTTGAAATCCAACCTAATTCATAGGTCGAGGTTGTGTGACAGTTGCATGATACAACTAATTGATTACATAATAGCATATGCTAATATATACAAGTATATATATTCTAAATCATTAATTGTAATTATCTTTCAATAATAATAAAAAAGAGATTAAAAATGATTCAGGGCAGACTAAGGGATTGGAGTAACGTTAGGCATGCAATCATTAATATGAATATTTTTGAAGAAAATGATCATTCAAAGATCCATGAGGTGTTCATTTTCACCCATCAAAGTTCTAAACACAAAAATTAAAACTTACTTGTGATACCCTTTTTTCTTGGTTCGTTTAGAGTGACCTATCGTACTATTAAGGGGTGACTATTTGATTCTAAGGCTCCTTTCTTATAAATCTCATTCACAACTTGAGTGGAACTGGTCAAACCGAAGGCCAAATTATTGAATCCACAAATGGACGAGGCACACAAATAACCAAAAATAATAATACGACTAGGAAGGAATAAATAAAGAACTTTATCAAATGACATAAATTCATGCATGGGAATAATATAACATCCTCGTGATTGTGAGATACATATTTGCCCATTAGGACAAGTTTTGCTTGGTATACATGAGAAAGGCATACGTATAGACTCATACTAATAATACAAGACAACATATATATCATATCATCTTGTGCACCTACAATTAATTCAAGTCAACATATATATTCCCGGCCATGATAACTAGGAATATATCTCGATCATGAGCAATAGTAATAGTAATAGCTCATACTAATTAAAGTAATAATGTCTAAGTTAGAATCAGGTGCTAAGTGCTCCTTTTACTCCTTTATAAAAGGGTTAAATTAGCTCATTTATACACCAAGCAAATCTTACACAAAACCATACATTATTATACACAAAAATTTAGTATAAACAAGCTAAGCTAATTAAGCTTCCTCAAATATAGAAACCATGCAACAACAACAAGTTTTTCAACCTCCTCAAACTCAAGGTTATACACAACATAGTTATCCTCAAGGTCCTCAACCATACCATCATCATCCTCCTCCAACTAGCTACTACCCTCATCCCCCTCCCAACCATCACTACGGCTATCCTTCGCCGTATTTTTACCCTTCGGCTCCTCCTAACTACTATAATCCCGCCCCTTTTCCTGCTGGAAGCACGTTCAACTCGGGTGGCAACACCAATGGATCCGGGATACAGAAGAATGGAGATGTCAATGTTGGTAACAGTAAGGAGAAATCCGGGGGCGTAGACATTGGTTCGATTGGTGGAAATCATGGCAATCAAGGCGGGCAACAATCTTCCGGGAATATTACTGCTGGCAACATTGGGTGTTAATCGGTCAATCACATAGTTAAAGGCCGCCTAGCTTGCTTATATATATTGATTTCGATTTCGTGGTGTTCGATCAAATAAAACTTATATGAACGTAATTTTCTACTTACCACAGTTACCAGATTGAGTGTTAAGATGTATGTGCTACGATCCCATCAGTTCCATCCGCTACATTAATGAATGAGTGTGTACTTATTTTATTTACGTACCATTAAAAATATGTGCTATATAATGTATGAATGGCTTGAGTATATATATATATATATATATATATATATATATATATATATATATATATATATATATATATATATATATATATATATATATATATATATATATATATATATATATATATATATATATATATATATATATATATATATATATATACGGGGAGGTTCCGCTGAAAACAGGGCTTATGGTGAAAACTAAAAACAGAAAATCTCAACCATCCATTGTTACTAACAAGATCTAACGGTTTTAAAAAAATAAAATAACGTAGAGTCACTATATATAAAAATAACGTAACTGTATACAAAAATAGGGTAACTATATCAATTTTTACAACATTTGTCACTATATACAAAAATAGGGTAACTATATTTACAACATTTACATTAAAGTCACTGTATACAAGAATAAGGTAACTATATCGACTAAGTTTTTGACACCATTTACATAAAGGTCATTATATACAAAAATAAAGGTCGCTATATATAAAAATAAGGTAACTACGTCAATTTTGACAACATTTACGTAAAGATTAAATAAGGAAAATCATATTGCTTAATCAATCAACCACAAAGAGTTCAAGGGAGCAATTATAGCAGCTCCAAAATAAAAAAAACCATACGAGTGCAAATAAGAAACTTGTTCTACTTCAATCCAACAAAACCCAATGTCAGCTTAGATGCAGCTTTCCACCATATCATTTTCATAAGCATTCTTAGCGCAAGTCGGAATGTTGTTGTGCTTGACTATATCTCCCTCCATTTCAATTGCCATTTGCGCAAGTTAATGAGCCACTTCGTTGGCTTCTCTGTGAACATAGCTGAACTCGAATTTGCAGGAACCTTTGAGCAATTCTCCAATGTCCCCTAAGATAGCAGCAAGCTCGTGTGTCCCCTGCTTCCCAATATCTTACAAGAGCTCAGCCTCTGCCGGGTTTCTAGAAACCCCCAAACCCAGACCACCGACACCACCGAAACCCCAAACCCAGACCACCACCGCCACCGACACCACCAAAATCCCCAAACCCAGACCACCACAACCACCGACACCCACAAAAAAAAATCAAATAAATAAGCAACTAAAAAAATTGAGTAGCAATAATCAACGAATCGATTAGCGATAATTAGCAAATCGATTAACAACTACTGTAATAAAATCAAATAAACAAGCAATTTAACCTAGACAATCGGAAAACAAAAATAACGAAAGAGGTGGAAGAAATCGCTTCAATGGAGGATCGAGAAAGCTCAAACTCGCTTCAATGGAGGAGAAAGCTTAAAATTTGCTTCAATGGGATGAATATTCAGTGACGAAAATGATTAACTCGCATAATTGATTGTTGAAACGTAAAACTCACTTTTCAGGTTTAACTTTGAAGCTAAAGACGAAATTGATGAAGATTGAAGCAAATTATTGATGAAGATTTAAGCAAATTCCTCTGAAATTTGATGATTTTTTGGGAGAAGGAGAGAGAAACAGTGAGATCGTGAGATTGAAGAAAGATAAAAATAGAGCAGAGAGAATGGATGGACAAGATTACAAATAACGCGAATGTAATCTAATCCGTCAGATGAAAATTCAATGGTCTAGATCATCTGTTTTCAGTTTTCAGCTTTAGGTTTGTTTTCACATGATCCAATCTCTATATATATATATATATATATATATATATATATATATTCTTTTGTGATATATATATTAAGCTATTATAATTAAACTTGTATTTTTCATGTAATTAAGTGGAGGAGAAACTTAGTATGAGCAATTAAAAAACAATTGGTCATCCAAGATTAGCTAATGGCTTATTTTAACTTTTATCAACAAGATATTTAATGACAAAATTTTAAGCCATATATGGTTAGTGAATTGCTAAACTTAGCTTAGGTACAATTTTTCCCAAGCTTGAAACAATTATCTTTGTGCAAATCCAACATCATCCTATCATTATCAACCCATGAAAAGGATTAGCTATGGCACCACCTTGCCGCTCCATTTCAGATTGCATAATGGCTTGAACCCGAAATCATTCAAATATCCAACCACAGTACCACACCGATCTCTAGTCATGTTGAGTTTCGTTGTTAATTGTAAGGGGTACGGTGTAGTACTGTGTATATATCAGAATATAACAACATACTCTAGGGCTGCAATTAACTATGAATGTTTTTATAGTCTCGGTACTTGTTCTGCCTCCTGGAGCAATGTGTATATACATATCCATTGATCATTAGTGTTTCGAGTAAAAACAATAATGTGGATTAAAGAAAGTCCTTAGTCAGATGGCTAAAGTCCGAAGACGAGCTTGGTCCAAAGATCTTTGGGCCGAGGATTTCTTGCACTGAAAAAACATATTAACTGGCCGCAAATTCTTAGCTACACTCTTGTGTAGCTAAGCTAGCTGCACCACCTGCATATATATAAATATATAGTAGTTCAAAAATAAACATACGTTTTTTTTTTCTTTCCTTATTTCTTAACTCCTTCTCTGTTCTCTTTTCTTACCTCTATTAATTTTCTCTCTCCTTTGTTTTCTTCTCATTTTGAAACTTTCTCTCTCTTTTATTACCTCTATAAAAAATGAACATGTAAATACCTCACTTTCTTTCAATCATTATTCTTCTTTGTCCTTTTACTTCGAGTATTCTCCAATTCGTCACCATTGTAGCATCCTCCATCGTCATCATCTTCATCGCGATCATAAATCGTGAGGTAATTTTGAATTTTATTTTTTTTGGTTTACAAATAAGTAAGGTATATTAATTAGATTATTAGAGTGGCAATACAAGAATCCAACAAAGGGTAATTGAGGTGAAACTAGGAGTCTGAAACTCCAAGTTATATAACATAAATCTGGCAATCCTGACTCGACCAAAATGATCCGTATCCGATTTGAAGAGGAATTGACCCGAATGTGACCCGATCCGATTTTAAACCGAATTAATTTACCCAAATCGATCTGACCCGAAGTAACTCGATATCTAAAGTGAATAGGGTGAAATGGTGAATAACTAATTCTGATCTAGGGCTTTCTAATTGGAGTACTTAGGTACATACACTTTTTTTAAATTTTTTTTTAAAGAAATTTACTATATTTTCTAAATATTGTAAAAGTTATCATTTAAATAAGAGGGAATTTTCCCACAATTTTCTTAAGTGAATTTATTTTTAATGACCAAACCCAAACTTGACCCGATCCGAACTGACCCGACCCGAATTGACTTGAAAACTGGTCTTGAACATTGACCCGGCCCAAACTTGACTCGAAGAGTGACCCGAACCTGATCCGAATATTTGCTGACTCGAAATTGACCTGACCCGAACGACCTATTTCCTTGTTCTACTATAGCATCACATACCAGTATACCACTATATGTGTACGTATGTCACCTTGTAAAGACTAGGCAACTATAATAGTCTATACCACTTTGACTCTTCAATAAAACCAAGGGATTATGGAAAGAACTTCATGCAATCTCAAAGAAATTTATAATATCAATTTCATAAAGCATCCTTATGACAGAAAATAACGGTTATACACTTATACTAATACATAATCAGAACAAAAAACTTATTCAGACAATTTACACGTTAAAAAGAATAAAGAGCTCATTTGAGTGGAACAAGAATAACATAATCAACTCATAAAATAATTAAAAATTTCATGTTGTTATTCTTGTATCATTAAAAATCTTGAACAAATTGAATGAAAACTATTGAAAAGTACTACCCAGATCGTACTAGTTGAACAGAATCTGATACCCAACATACCGTTGTATCTACCACCTCTATAAATTAAGGAACACTTAATATTAGTTCATCATCAAGCAAATACAATCAACAAGTTTTCGAAAAATCAAAATTGAAGACAATAATGCAGTACGCTTTTCCTCAAGGTCATCAAGGATATACATATCCTCATTTTCGCGGTCCTGAAGAACCTCGTTACTTCTATCATCATCGTCATCATCCTCCTCTTACTACTAATTACTACACTCCTCTGAATCATGGTTACCCTGCAGCTTACTATCCTTCAGGATCGTCGAATTATTGTAACAATCCTTTTACAGGGCATGTGTACAATGCTGGTGGCAACCGCTATGATGGACATGGAATACAGAGAAATGGAAATGTTAAGATTGGAAACAATGGAAGTTCTAAGAAGCGCAAAAATCGCAAGACTACAATTGTTGGAGGGTGTCATAACAATCAAGGCGGTCATCAGGTTTCCGGGGATGTAATCTTAGGCGACTTTCACTAGCTGCTACCACTGCTATGCGTCATTAAGTATATACTAATGCTATTTGAAAGATTTGTCTGATGTAATAAAAAGGTCTGATCTACTAACTGAAGTGCTGCTGCTATGCTACAGTTAGTTCGACTCTACTGATGTATCAGAGTATTACTACTGTACTATGTATTGTATGTGTTTTTATCTGTATTGCTACCACTTCAGGCTTCCGCCTAATGTTATACATCATAATATCATATTAAAGGTACTATTTGTAATTGATTTATCAGATAATTAGTCATTATTATTGATTCATAAGCTACTGGTTTAAGTAAACAGTCTCTGACAATATACCTGATACTTGTTCATTGAGCTGAAATGATAATCTTGGTTCCAAATCACATCAAAAAAAAACGTATTCTTCTAGCTAAATTCTGGACAACGAAAGTGACAGCTAAATCTTAACAGTCAACCAAAAAGTATTGTTTAATAATTAACTAAATGGTTATAAATTGAATAGGATAAGTAGTTGAAAAATAAC